TAACCTAAATTATCTTCTACTCCCATATAATATAAAAATATAGGGTTAAATATGTTTTTGGTCCCTTAACTTTCAGCGAAAATTGGAATTAGTCCCTATTCAAAACTTTGGACTAATTTAGTCCCCAAACTCTAAAAATGTGTGAATTTAGTCCTTTTAACCAAATTTTGTTAACTTTATTTGATGTTTCAAGTGTGTTTCATGATAGCATTTGAGTTGTTTACACTGTTTGACACATGTTTGCTTCAACGTTCACTGATAAATGCGTTTGAAACATCAAATAAAGTTAACAAAATTTGGTTAAAAGGACTAAATTCACACATTTTTAAAGTTTGGGGACTAAATTAGTCCAAAGTTTTGAAGAGGGACTAATTCCAATTTTCGCTGAAAGTTAAGGGACCAAAAACATATTTAACCCAAAAATATACTACACAATCATAACAATAAAAATAAAAGAAAAACACAAATAAAATTGGAAGAATAAACTAAATTAAGAAAGCTAAAATATTTTCTTAAAACAATAAATATTTTCTCAATAATCTTTTTCTTTAAAAAATTAATAAAACAAATAAATAATTTTCCTCAATTTGTGTTTTTTATTTTTTTTAAGTTTAAAAAAGTATTAAGTAAACATCGTGCTACAGGTCAGAATTAATGTTTTATTTTCAATGTAATATTGTATTCTTTATTTTTGTTTAATTTATTCTTAATTTTTTTTATGAAACAACATCATTATTCAATTTGATTTTTAACCTCTTAATATCTTAAACTAATGGTGTTACTCACCACATTTAAAATTTTCATTCTAATTTTAAACCAATTCTAACCTAAAATTTAAAATATTTAATAAAAATATAAATTTAAATAAAATATCAATATAACATTTATATAAAAATTAAATTTGATCTCAATTTAGAAAAAATAATTCTATTTTAAAAGAAATTAGAACTAAATTGAATAAAAAGAACAAATATAAGAAAGAACTAAATTTGAATATAAAATATTGAATATACCACAACACCGTCATCCTCCATCGCCGCCACTGCCTTGCACCGCCACCACACACGCCGCCGCAAGGCCGCCACCACAGCTGTCATGCTGCAAAGCCCTTTTCAGGCTGTTGTCGTCGTAAGATTGTGCCACTCAACGCGAGAACCTACAACCACTGCACCGGAAACCTGTTCGAAACTCAAATGAAGCAAATCGCGTCTCCGTCATTCTATAATCACCTTTACCCACCTACATCACCACTATGAATCTTCATCTTCTCCAACAGAACCACCATGATTTCACCCTTGAAACCCACAGAAAAATCCCAAACTGAAAGAACCCTAAAAACCTAAGTCACCACCGTGACAACCTCTACATTGTCGCTCCTCGCCGCCACCAGCCCTAATGCAAACCCAACCAACCACTCGAACCTTCATCTCGCCACCACAGAGCATCAGCAGCACCGCGGAGGAGAAGAGGCGAAACCTTATCGCGAAGAGAGTTAAGGGTTCGAACCCTAGCGTGACCTTCCTTGCCGCTGTCGCGCAACCTGCCTCCATCAACCTTCGTCTTTGCACTTCTCAACCATCAACAACTCGAACCTGCAAGAAGAAACCCCCAATTTCCAACCAGAACAACCAAGCCAATATGCGCTCAACAATTAAACCACTTATCCCTAACTTTTAATCAGTTTTGCCTAAGTAAAATGTTGTGTTTTTATTAAAATAAACTTTTTTAAAATTATAAATAAATAAAATTCAGCTTAGGTGTCCAATGCCACATGAATAGAATTTGTTGAGTCACCAAGCCACGAATCATAATTTTTAACGCCATAGTTAACGGCGAGACTCAAATTGATTTAATTTTAAACAATAAAGGACCTAATTGAGACCATTTAGAATACGAGGATCTATTTGAGACAAACCTACACAAATAGGGATGTCCGCAAGGATTAAACAAAAAAAAAGTTAAACACTCACCTTTCCTTTCATTTATTTTTTGGCATATTTTTCTTAAGGCATTCCCTTCCCAGCTCTAGAAATTATATTAGTAACAATTTAATATTTTGGAAATGAATTTCCTTAATATAGTAAACATATTTCGAAACTCAATTTCAAAATCATTAAAATTTTGAATATGAATTTAAGATTTTCAAACATTTTATTCATACAAACGTTGATGCAAATTTCCACAATCAGAACTTTTACCTTTTATCACGAGGGCCAAGCATTGTAGAAGTTTTGGGGAAGTTATTCACTCTTTGTTTAATGGTTTTCACATATGGTGTGAATCAAATTAATGTATCAATATGATAATTTGATCTTGAATTTATATGATGTATTTTCATCCATAAAAAGTTGCTACGACATATTGGGTCATCAGCCTAGTAAGCTTGAGAAATAGTCATATCATCTTAATGTAATAAAGGAATTATTATTTGCCCCGTTTGAAAAACAATAACTAATAAATGGACTCATTGTCTGGATGGGGAAATCACAGCATAAACATAGCTAACATTAAGTTTGTGATATAAAGATTATGATTTTGAATTAATATATTTTAAACCATTTTTAATTATTACAAGATATTATGCATTGCAATACTAACATCGTTCATGTATATGATAATTTCTATATGGGTTTGAGAAATTTTAAGGCTTTAAAGGATGAATTCAATTGGTTTGATAGGATTATCCTTAAAAGTATATGAATCAAAATTAAGACGGAGAATGTTGAAAAAGTGTTATGGTCTTTTACACCAGAAAAAAGATGTTTCATATATATTAAGAATTATGTTTTATTTGATTACATAATATAATTAAGGTCTTAATAACCAAGTTGTAACACAATAATAAACATCAACGGTTACAACAGACAAAATATGGAAGTAATCAATAATTATAACTGGATACTAGTTTTTTAGTTGCAAGGAAAAGGTGTTTGATATTTTTATTGTATGAGATAACGTGGAATAGTAAATGTAAATTTGGCAACGCATTTGAATTGATTATTATAAGTTCCAGAAATGATACGAGAATAGAGCATTGCTTACTCCATAAATCCATATTTTCTTACAGGGTAAAGCTAATAGAAAACAAAGACTGAAAAATATAATAGTTGTATTTTAACAAACTTAAATGAACACCTTCTAAGTTGAAGTACTTGACAAGCTTCAAAGATAATATTAGAGCCTAGAGCGTAGCATAAATTGACCCTCAGCTACTATTCTCGTTTCTGTCAACACTGGTGCTACTCCTTTATCAGCTATGTTCCCTGCAGGTTCAACTTCCGTATTGCTGTTTGAAGCACTTGTGACTTTCAATGTGTATACTGCAACAAAAAGAAAATTGCACTTCCATTCACAAACTTACTATGGATATAGCCTATTGGCAAATTGAAATTTCATGTTTGAATTCAATGAAAATAGTGAATCGAGTTAAGTGTTTCTAACCAAACAACTACCTAGTTACCTTATAAATGGTTTTTCTTATTAGTTTCATGACATGACATTCATAACTAGTCATGTGATCAAATTCATCAATTCATTGATACTCTCCGAGATCAGAAATTGAGTTTTTTACTACGCAGTTCTCCAAAAGAATAAATCATCTAGACAAAAACTGACCTGGTGGAGGGGAAGTGGAAGTGGATGCACTGTAAGATTTGCTCACAAAGAGTTGAAATTTGATACCATCTGTGGTGTTCTCCTCAAAAGCAGAAACCAACATATTGGGAAGAGCTAAGGCAGGTGCTTGGTGATCTATTGATGATAATGGGGCTTCAGAATTGTGTTTAAGCTTCTTGGGATCATGGTCCTCTGCAACAGAAGATGGGTGGCCAAGTGATTTATCCACGAACACACCAAAAACATTGTGTCTTTTCCTTGGGTTCTGCCCATGATCTTCCATGCTTCAAGACGAAGGCACAAATTTTCTGCTGTGTATGGATTTAGAAGCCTTTTTTTGCCAAAAATGGTTGGAATAAGAGATAAACAAATTCTGGTTCCAACAACTTCATATGCCCCTTTTCTTATATAATATTATACATTTCACACAAGCATAAAGCACCATTCGAAATGTTGTAACTTTACAGATTTGTGTAGAAGTAAATTCTAATAGTTGGGTTTCATCAACCATCAATCAAGGGACTTTATCAGTCCAAACTGCAAAAGTTGTCAATGTTAGAACCCTTTATTCACTTTTTCTCGAGCCACGCTTATATTTTTTGTTATACGCTGCTTTTCCTTTCACAGTACAATACAGTAACACACATTTTTTTATTGTGAACATTTTTGTATATAATCTTCTAGACACGGTGATTCAAGAACATGGATTAATCACTTATAATAATTCTGGAATTTCTACTCGTTTGGTATTATGTTATAATCAATTGGGCCTAATTGTACTGGTCATGATCATTGTCACACACAGATGAAATCATATAGAAATTCATTCACTATCAATTATACTTGTGGAAATTCCCCTCAACACGTCTTCATTCAGACATCTAATACAGATAGAACTTTATTCCCTAAATTATTGACAGATGCTAAAGACAATCAGCCATGAATAGAAAATGAAATTTACCTTCTCTTTTTTTAAAAAAAACATATCAAAAGAAAAGGCATACAGGGGTGTGCACCAACTATTCCCATGTTCACTAGAAGAAAAATTGGTCAAAATACAATTGCAGTTGCAACAACCAGTCCCTTGTTTACATTACAAAGGATTCTTAGATGACAAGTTCAAAACTTGAATTATTATTTTAGTTATATAAAATGTTATGAGAGTCGTAGTTAAATACATTTACATTTAAAAGAAATCCATTCATTTTAACTAAATGTACATGCCTATAATATAACCTGATAAATCATCTCAGTACATTTTTTTCTCAAATCTAGAGCCTCTTTATGACTTTACGCTACAAGATCAATAAAAAATATATTCTCTGTCTATTCCTAGATCCTTTGGAGTTTGAATAATGACGTTATGTTTCAGTCTTTTTACATTAAACGGTGGTCCAACTTTAGTCATTCGGCAGTGCCAAAGCAAGCTCAAACAGAACCTAACAGTGTCTTTTATTTTTTCACCATTTTCTTATTCAAACCAGTCAATTAGAGTTATACCATATGAAGTTTAGTTTTAAGTGGGAGTGTGAGACTGGTATCAGCATACCTTATCTATTCTTCACTAGTCAGTTTTTTTTTTTTTCGAGTGCCATTTTTCTTTCCATATTCACTCCTTAAAATTTCTTACCAATCATGGACCAAACTCAAAATGAGTCTGGCTGGATGCATTCTATCAAAGTAACATTGGGGTCTCTAGATCACAGAGAGGTTAAGTCCTTCATCAGCAGCATTCCTAGTGTTTCAAGCAAGCTTAGAAAATCCAACGAGGAGGCGTACTCACCAAAGTTTGTCAGCATTGGACCCTTACATAGGGGAACAAGTAGCCACCTTCTGGCCATGGAAGAGCACAAATGGCGTTACATGCTAGCTCTTCTTCACAGAACTCAAAATCCAGTTTCAACCTTGGATGAGTGCGGCACAGTCATTCTTGGCTTGGACGATGCAGTTCGTGCAAGCTACGGAGGTAACATCAAATATGATCCCCATGAGCTAGCCAAAATAATGTTACTTGATGGCTCCTTCTTGTTAGAACTTCTCCTTAGATGTGCACCACCAAACATGGTACCTCAAATTCCAAAAGAAGAAAACCATAATGGTTCTTCTTCAGATCCAATACTAGGACACAAAGAAGTGTTCATATCTATTCTGACTGATTTCACTCTTCTAGAGAACCAAATGCCCTTTTTTGTTCTCAAGACATTGGCAAGGGTACTTTTTCCAGAGGTCTTCACAAGTGAAGCTGATCATCTTGTTGCTGATCTCACACTGTCTCTCTTCAGCTACCCTTTGATCCGCTGTCCTAGTGTGGCACACTTTCTGCATCTCATGCACTTGTCCTCCATTGTTGATGAGGGGCAAAAGGTGAAAAAAGCACAGCAAGAGCTAAAGCGTTGCGCCACAAGACTTAGAGCTGCTGGTGTATCAATTAGGAAAGTAGAGAGGCACAGCAAACTGGTTCACTGGTTTGGCTTTGACATAAGATTTGCAAAAGGGGTGCTTGAAATCCCTCCACTTCACGTAGTTGAAACAACAGAGGTATATTTGAGGAATTTCATTGCATGGGAACAAAGCAGAATTGGCATCAACAGGCAATTCACTTCTTATGCATTGTTTCTTAAAGGGTTGATGTGTTCCTTGCAAGATATTGAGCTGCTTGTGGACAGTGGTGTTTTGGTCAAAGATACTAAGATCAGCAACAGAGACTTGCTCACTTTGTTCGGCACAATCACGAAGGGGGTGGACCAGATGGACTCTAGTTACAGTAAACTTTGTGAGGACTTGAATGCTTACTCAGCAGTGAATCATTTGAGAAAGTCCCCTATACTGATATGGCATTGTTGCAACCTTTGTGTGGAATGCATCAGATACTCTTGCAAACACAGCTACAAAATCTTGATCAGGGATCATATACCAAATGTGTGGAAACTGATAGGAATTTTGGTAGCTGCAGTGCTGCTTGCTCTTACCATTATGCAGACCTACTATTCATCTCGTGGCTGAGTAAATTTTGGTAAGTATGTGCATAACCATGAGTCCATGATTCACATGGTTGACATACATTTTCATTATTATGCAAACATGTCAAACTTTCAACAAAAGAAATATACTCTTACAAAATTAATTGTGTTAATTCAGGCCTATTGATTATTTTGCATGTATATCTTTTAAATATGAGCACAATAAATTGGCATATATGATGTTTATTTATACCGTTTATGTTATGGCTGTTATATTAAAAAAGTGAGTGAATTCTATCCTATACCTCGAATTAGACAAAAAAACCTTTAACATATATTTACAATTATATACGTAAGGATTGTTAAATTTATTTCATGTAAAACCAGGATTAAATGACTCTTTAGTAGATAATTGGTTATGTTTTATGTAACATCCCAAAAATACAGTCTAAAACTATATAATAGAATAATCACATTAAGTAATATTACAGCTCAGTTTTACATTAGAGAAGTAAGCTTGTGGCCGAACGGCCTTACAGAAAGAAATAGAAAATTTAATACCGAACAACATAATCAGTTTCTGACCGAACGGTTTACAAAAGATTATACCGAACTGTCCTACCAAAAGAAGAGGGAAAAGATGATCGAACGATCATCTCAAAACTAAGCTAATAAACTAACCGAACGGTTCTACTGTTCGGTCTTAACTTCTACCTCGACTAAGTTATCTTCCTCCAGTGCTTCTTCCAGCAGCTTGTCTCCTTCTGCTCACATCCACATGGATGATCATTGCAACAAAAAGACAACCGAACGTACAAAACAGACAAGACAGAAAGACATAGGGTAAGCTTATGTAATTTAATTCATGTATAAACATATATATATTTCACACAATCAAAACAAAACAAGATAATTCATTAGTCGTTCATACCAAGCCTAATACTAGACTGACTGTCCGGACTGTATGAATTTTGTGTAGCTACGACGTTCGTGCACCCGGGTGATGTAGTAACTGGGATACCCTCAACAGTTGCTACCCGAGGTTAGTCCTTTCTGTCCAAATTAACCATAAGGACTAGGACCTCCTGCCATTCCCACACATGACTTACCCTTCTCTACGTGAGGACGAGTAATCACGGAACATCAGGATGAACTGCCAGCTTAGCATGCCCACATTCATACTTTACCAAATTTTAATATACATTCATGAGCTATTCCTCCTCGGAACGCTCGTTCATAATCCACTTCATTTCGTACACATCATATTTCATCATCTTTCATTAACAAGACCTCAATGAGATCAATTTGAATAAATGTCTCTGAAGACACCAAATACCGAACGTTAACTTCTACTTTGAACAAGACCGAACGCTTGGAGTGAAACCAAAGGTCTCCAGTTTCCAAGCGGATCAAAACCAAGAGAGAATCATTGGTTTAAGAAAGGAAGCGATTAACATATATTTCTCGAGAACGACTAGAACCAAATGTTTATATACTAAGTGAGCCAATTGGATGAATTGACTCACGAGTTAGACCGAAAACTAATAGGCTTAGGCCGAATACCAAGACTCTAGGCTGAAACCAATTTAAGACCGACATTGTGAAGATCTCAAATAAGGGTAAATAATTGAATCAGGTGAATAAACCGAACGTCAATAAATATACTTAGCTTTTGAATGAGTTAAACATCAAGAACAATCAGAATGTCAGTCGAAGACCGAGCACCGAAAAGGGCGAACCATATTGAGTTTGAACGAACGTTTATATTTATATATATATTTTTCAAAAAGGAGAATGAGTACCTGGTGTAAGACCGTGCGCTTACTCAGTACTAGCACTTGGTATAAGACCGAGCACTACTAAACTTATAGGAGAAAAACTTGATAAATATAATAAGATACCATTTTGAGTAGTGTTTTAAGAACAAACGAAAATATACAAATACATATAGATATACTTAAGTTTATAACCGAATACCAAGGAACAACTACGCTTGGCCGAACGCTCACGCATAGTATTACAAAACGAAGACACTCGTCCTCAACTAGGATTCTTCCCAAATGAAAGAATCCAATTCCAACCAAGTTCACTAGAAAAACCGAACGGTCAAGGACCATTCAGTGACGAACGTACACTTTCATAGGAAAATTTCATATTAAAATTCTTTATATCAATTCATTTCTCAACATCTATTTTCATAAAATCAGACATCCATATCATAGTAAATAATCACACTTCATATAGACAAAGCATATCAACAATCATACTTCATATACATTCAGCCACTCAACAACATGCATTCATTAGCAACGAACGTACAAATGAACATACAATTAAATTAGATAAGCTTCCCTTACCTCTAATGTGACCGAACGCTCAGCTCGTATAGAATAGCTCTCCACCAGAAATCCTAGAATCTTACGGTTCACTCTTTATGAACTAAACCAAACAAAAGACCAGAAATGGCTCAGAACGAGATTATGAACGCATGCAACCAGGACTTGGTTTGCATGTTCCATAAAAACGCACGACTGAAAGAAGGAAGAACTTACCAGCTCAGCTTCACAAACCGAACGGTTTAACTGGAAGCTCTTGACGTCGGAAGTGCTTCTGCGGTGCCTGAATGGTGATCGTAGAAGAGAAAGTTAGTGTTTTCTTAGAGAGAAGATGAAGGAAATGTAGTGAGAAGGAGGAGAAAAATCGGGTTTTCAGAATCTGGGGAAGAAGGGTGCATGCAGTGAGTGGAGTGGATTTTCTGAAAATCCAAGTTTTGCTTCCCACGTCAAAAACGGACGTCCGCTCATCCGCCAATACCTGTCCTCCACCAGCTGAGTGTCAAGCCCTTCGCTTGACACATGGAATCTACTAAAACGGCACGTGCGTGGATTTGAGTGGTTATGACACTATTTATTTCAAACTTATATATGATTTTGTTTTACAAACCGAACCAAGCCAAATCATCTTATAAAAAGGGACAGGTTTGATTAATCAAACTATTTTTATAAAGTGATTCTGTTGAAGTCGGTTTAATATATTCACATTCTTAGACTTCTTCGTAGTGCACAATCTCCAATCCCTATGGGTACTCCAAAGTGACCGTGAACCACATTAATCTTCAACCACGTGAGGAACTCCTGCTATGCCAACCCTGGTTAAGACTAGAGAAGAAAATTGGAAGGAAAAAAACAAATGATAGTGTGCACAATATCAGCTAAGAAATTGTTTTAGTAGACAATAAATGTGCAATTACTGATCTAGATTTCTTGCAAACAGTGTTAGTCAGTAGCAGTTGGATAGCACATGCATAAAGATAAGCTAAAGATAGTGTCATCAAAAGTTTCAACGACAATACTTTGTTGGCCACATTAACTAGTACAGTAATGCAGCAGACTGAGCAATTTTTCATATCAGCTTTCACACTCACTGTTGCTATTTCTTGTGACGTGGTACTGAGTTGAGTTTCAATTATTGGAGCAAATTCAAGTACCTATACACCCTTTTCCTCAGTATATTTTAAACTCTTTAAAGTTTTCTCAAATTGATCACATATTACTGTAACATTGTGTTTTTTATAATTTTTAAGTATGTCCATAAACATGCCATTGAGAAAGTCTTCAATATCCAGTAGACATATAGCAGAAAATGTTTGAAAGATCTGAACTTTTAATCTTCCCAACAGCCACACATAGAACCTTAATAGCCTCCAAATGCCTAAAGTTACAATGCATCTTGGAGCAAGTTCTGGCATTCAGCAATGAGTTCCTGTCCCTTCTTGCGAAGGATCTCTGCTTGAATCAACAACATAGCTCCTTTGCGACCCTTTTGCCCTGCCATCTCGATCTCACTGCTAGAGAAGCTCATGAGCTTCAAAAGATGTGCTCCATCACCCATCTCAAGACCAACATCTATTGTAGGCTCTTTGTTTGACAAATCTTTCAAACGTTTCACAGTGCACTCGCGTTGACTCGCAATTGCTTTGTATATGCCCCCGGTTCTAGGCCTCCTTGACAGTTCCTCAGCTGCCATAGACATCACTGTTTCTAGCTCACTCTGATTCTTGTCTTCTTTCCCGTTGCAACCTACACAGCATATGCAAACACAAATTAATGGGGGAATGGTGGTATGCAATATCTATTAACACAAAACTTAGTATATTTCCTAAGGTGTTTTTGGTATTCCTCTGTAAAAGGTTTCTTTCAACTTAGAACTTCAGTTTTTTTTACGTATATAAGCGAAAACGATTTGTTATTTACGTAAGTAGGCAAAAAAAAAATTATTACGCATTTAGACAAGTGATGGGATGCATTTAGGCAAGTTGTGGGATCAGACGACTTCACATGAAGAAGTCGTACCCATGTACAACTTCACCCTGACACACGAGTCAAAGGAAAAGTCGTGCACCCCAAAATGTTTTTAGGCCTTGGTAATCGATTATCAGGCCTTGTAATCGATTACACAGTGCCAAAGTCGTGCAGGGGACACCAGTTCACCTGTAATCAATTAAACCCTTGCTGTAATCGATTGCAGGAAGTGTAAATAAGAAAAACTCTTTATAATCAATTACAGCAGGGTTGTAATAGATTACCAGAATTGTAAATCAAGATAAACTCTTTGGTAATCGCTTACAGGTCTCTACTAATAGCAAAAAACATGTGGTAATAGATTACAAGTGGGCCAAAATGACGACGAAGATACTTCATGTCTTTGCTAAATATGTCTAGCTCGAGCATCAGTGGTATTGAATCTACCACCCATGTTTAGCTCGAGCTGACCAACTCGCCCATCAACAAATGTTCGCAGATCACGTATCTCGTTCATTATGTCATCAGGTGAGGGTTTATCTTGTTGACGAACAGGTGGTTGGCGTTGAGGATGTTGAAGACTTTGGCGATGAGTAGGAGCATTTCTGTAAACCCATTGTCCATCTCTGTTTTTCTGAAATCCAAAGGAAAAGATGACGTCAGCCGCAATTGTGAACTTCTTCTTCTCTGGGACAGGTTGCTCATCATCTAATGGAATTTCCAAATGTTCCATGAAAAGGGTGACCAAAAATGGATACGGTAGAGGAGCCCTGTCCCTCAAATCCTTCTTCATCCTATGTCGGATAAGATGACCCTAGTTAATCTGCTTTGCTGTCAGGATGATCCTCATTAGAAGGAGATATTCCTTGGTATCCAATGCAACATTAGATACACGAGGAAGCAAAATACAGTAGATGACATAATGTAGTATTTGAGTCTCGACTTTCATAGACTCGGCTAGTATTGTACCCAAAGGGGGTGCAGTGGGGTTAGATATCATTTGTTTAGCTTCTAGGATATTATACTCATCTGCCCATTCTTTAAGCATATGACCATCAAAATCCAAGCCTACAAATGAGCGGTTGGTAACGGAAGAAAATAGGTTTGGTCTACTGACCATTTTGACATTTTTGACCTCATTATGAATGGTGTAATTGTCAGATACGGAAAACACTCAAACTAAGTCAAGGCAGTAATGTGAATAATGACAAACAAAATCACCTAAACCTAGATTTGTCAACATATGGTGAAACTCAAAATTTTCCTCGTCAAAATATTCTTGGTTTAGGTGTTTGGGCTCAATGACTTCAAGACCACAGAAGTGTGAAAAATACCTCTCTAATTGTGCAGGGGTGGAAAAGGGAAGATTGGGGTGTGATTGATTCAGTGACGGTAGTGGTGAGGGTGAGCTTTCAATCAGTGAGGGTTCACGTCTGCGATGTCTCGCAGCAGATGAAGACGACCCCTAAACCTTTGTCTTTTTGAAGATTCAGTCATTTTGAAGAAATTTCAAGCGATGGAAGTGGTTGAGATATGAAAGAGGAATGGAAATTTGGTGATTATGAGTGAAAATAGGACCAAAAGGGAGGTTTTGGAGCTTGGATGTAGACAAAAATGGAGGAGCAGTCGCAGGAGAGAAAGGGGAATGAAAGAGTGTACGAGAGGAGAGAGAAAAAGTTGATTTATAAGGTCTAGGGTTTCTGATAATTGATTACAAGGTTTAAGTAATTGATTACTAGAAACTTTGGAATCGATAATTTTTGGTTTAATACCTCTTTTGGTCCCTAGAAAGGGGGCCAATGTTCAATGTGGTCCCACCTTTTTTTAGAAGTTCAATGTGATCCCATCTTTTGTAAAAAGTGTGCAATCAAGTCCTTTTTGGAAACGGCGTTAAGTTTTTAACGGAGCAGCTGACAGGGTGGACTGAAGTTAGCTACGTGGCTTTGTGTGAGTAATACGTGGCAGTGAGAGGGTGATACGTGGCTGTGAGAGGGTAAATCAGAAGTTAGGGTTTGAGTTGCAGAGAAATTAGTAATTTGGGATTTCTTAGAAGATCAGAGAGGCGAAGAACATTGTCGTCAACGATACCATACTCCTTGATCCGGGCTATCTCTTTGCCATCGGAAACCAACTTCTGCTTTTTCACCACGAAGCCTTTGCACTGCTGAATCCTCATTTTCACCGAAGCAATGGAATCAGACTCCAACACGCGCATTGGGGTTACAACGCCATCCACAATTAGGTAAAATCAAGATTGGCTCACCAGAACAATGTCCCGACTGCCCTTCATATTACCCCTTCTCTTCGAAAACTGAACTCAAAGCAAACTCAGCAATTCAAATATCTCAAAGTCAATCACTCTTTTACCCTTTTTCTTGTTCCAGGTTCCCAATTTGCCTTACCTTATCCTACTCGTTTTCTGCTTTACTCCGAAATTTGTTTTTTGATGATACAACTCAATGGGACCCAAAGAAACAAAACAAAGAACCTGTTTTTGAGGTGCCCAGAAGGAAATTTTGATTGTGCTTTGGAAATGGACGATGGAATGAAGAATAACGTTAATAAAAAAAACAAAAGCAATAACTCTCAAATAAATGGTGGAAGTGAAGCAAGCGAGAGGGGACTCTTACCAAGAAGAAATCCCAAATTACTAATTTCTCTGCAACTCAAACCCTAACTTCTGATTTACCCTCTCACAGCCACGTATCATCCTCTCACTGCCACGTATTACCCACACAAAGCCACGTAGCTAACTTCAGTCCACCCTGTCAGCTGCTCCGTTAAAAACTTAACGCCGTTTCCAAAAAGGACTTGATTGCACACTTTTTACAAAAGATGGGATCACATTGAACTTCTAAAAAAAGGTGGGACCACATTGAACATTGGCCCCCTTTCTAGGGACCAAAAGAGGTATTAAACCATAATTTTTCTGTATTAACATGTATGGTAATCGATAACTTTGTAATTGATTACTAGAGGTTTGAGACTACAAATTTCATACTTTTTGTTTTTGTTTATATAATTTCAATTTTTCTAAAATATTATTTATTTATATGAATGTTATTTTGTGTATAATTTGCTTATAGTTATATAAATCAATAATATAATTGTAATTTTTTATATAAATTCTTATTTTTATATTTTGCATTTATATTTATATGAATTATTTATATAAATTATTTATATAAATGTTATTATTTTGTATAATTTGTAATTTTTATAATTTACATATAAATTATTAAAAATAAATAATAGAAATATTAATTTGTGTATAATTACTAATTATTAATAGAAATGTTATATTTTATATATTATTTAATTTTATTTAAAACATAAAAATTGAACATAAGATAAAAAATTAACATTAAAAGAATTACACATGTCTTAAAGACTCTTAATTTGGAACGTTATAAATAACTAGAAAATTAAAATATCCATTTATTTCTTATTTTTCCTTGTTCGTTTATGTAACTCCATAATTTGATATCCTCGTATTATTCAGTAGGAGTTGGGGGACGAATATCTCTTGTTTGGATGAAAAGTTCAATATGTTCCCAAATGTGTGGACGTAACACAAAATCGGTCAATAGTTTGTATTTTTTTCCACCGATTGATCATTTATGCAATATCATTATCATATTTGATTTCAACTGTATCATAAATGAGGTGGTTGTTATGTACCTTTACAGGACGACGATAATCAATATGACTGACTATTTTTCGATCACCACAGTCGACAATTTCAATGATTTTTTGGAGGAGTTCATTGAATGTACAATTGTGTTTGATAGAGATGTTGATTGGGTTATCTGATCAAAACTCAAGCCCGTAGCCAGATTGACTTTTTATTACGCCTTTTAGAGGACATCCAAAATAGATTATTAGCAGTGATCTTAGGATGGGAGCTCTGCGTGTGGTACTCGAAATTGATGCATTTGTTGGATTAATAAGACCTGTGATTTCTTTTATCGATCTTTACCATGTAACATACAATTCTATAATTGTGTTAGTCGTGTGCAAACTTTTTGCTTCAGGAGGCTGAAACTGCAATCGTATAGAAGGAGAAACAATTTTGGAGTGTGACATACAAATTTCACCCCTTGTTCACCATTTCTCATTTTTCCATTTTGAAATAAGGTAACAATGTAGGAATTATATAGGTTCTTTGTGGTTGTGATGCCAATTAGTTGACTATCGAAGTTATTCATGTTGTGTTGGAGAAAATGTCTGTGGAATGACTTCAAATGAAAGGGAAATTAGTATTTGATAGAGGGAAGGGGTTGAGAGGAAATAAGGAGATGAGAGAAGTGGGGTATTGAAGTGAGCATAGATGAAATGTAAAGTGTTATTTATAGTGCAAATGTGCGAGGTGCATTGATTGAAATCAACTTTAATGACAAGTACTTTAATATTGATATATTATATTCATTATACAAAAGTCATAATTTCATAAAATTGTTTTATATTTATAGTTTGTTATGTCTGCCAATACCTCAAGTTGGTCATCTTCTTTGTCGTTGCCCTCATCTTTGTTGTCGTGGTAGGGGAGTCTGTGTATTTTTATCAGCGCCTTCAGTTTCGATGGACTAAGTTTGATGTTATGGTGGTTGAAAATCCATCTTCGGTCAATAAAAGTTTTGTGATGAAGAACGTTCTTGGGATGCAGAGGCTAGAGTCATCGTCAATGTTCCAAACATATGTGAAGGAATCGTAGTCAATGTTGACGGACCCCACTAAAGAAGGAAGGACATGCATTTATTGTTGAAGGACTCGCACTA